TGCTCCTATATTGGGTACATATATGTTAATGGGTGTAATACCCTCTTCTTGTATTGATCCCTTTATCATTATATAATGTCCTTCTTTGTCTTTATGGCCTTTGTTTTAAAGTCTGTTTTGTCTGATATGAGTATTGCTACTGCCACTTTCTCGTTGTTTCCATTTGCATGGAATATCTTTTTCCATCCCCTCATTTTCTATCTGTGTGTCTTCCACCCTGATGTGAGTCTCTGGTAGGCATCATATTATGGGTTCTTGTTTTCTTATGCAACCTGCCCCTCTGTGTCTTTTAATCAGAGCATTTAGTCCATTGACATTGAAAGTAATTATTGATAGGTATGTATTTGTTGCCATCTTAAACCTTGTTTCCCGGTTATTTTTGTAGTTCTTTTCTGGTTCTTCTTTTTGTTTTTCCTTTTGTAGTTTGATGGTTTTCTTTTATATTATGCTTGAGTTCCTTTCTTTTTGGTTTTTGTGAATCGACTGTATGTTTTAAATTTGTGATTACCATGGGGTTCAAGTATGTTGACCCATAACTATACTTGCTTTAAAGTGATAGTCATACAAGTTCAAACACACTGTAAAAAAAATCTACATCTTTAGAGTCCCCCTCTCTCACATTTTTTAATTTTGATGTCATATTTTACATCTTCATGCTTATTCTTTTGCTGTTCATTGTAGTTATAATTGCTTTTACAAAAATATTTGTAATTATTTTTTAATCTATGTACTAGCTTATTTAAGTGGTCTTCAATCCTTTTATATATTGGCTTTCCCATTGTGATTTTCCCTTACCTATAGATTCTTGTTTCTCTTTTATTTAGAGGAGACCTTTCAATATTTCTTCTAGGGTAGGTTTAGTAATACTGAATTTTTTTAGTTTTTGCTTGTCTGAGAAATTCTTTCTCTCTCCTTCTATTCTAAATGATAATCTTGCTGGGTAGAATATCCTAGGTTGCAGGGTTTTCCCTTTCAGGACTTTGAATATATCATGCCACTCCCTTCTGGCCTGCAGAGTTTCTGCAGAGAAATCAATTGATAGCCTTATGGTGGTTCCCTTGTAATTAACTCTTTGTTTTTCTCTTGCTACCTTTAGAATCCCCTCTTTAACTTTTGCCATTTTAATTATGATGTATCTTGGTGTGGGTCACTTTGGGTTCATCTTGTTTGGGACCCTCTCTGCTTCCTGTGCCTGGATGTCTGTTTCCTTCTTCAAGGTTTGGGATGTTTTCAGCCATAATTTCTTCAAATATATTTTAAATCCCCTTTTCTCTCTCTTCTCCTTATGGAACCTCTATTATGCATAGTTTGGCATGCTTTATATTATCGCATAGTTCTTACATGTTATCTTCATATTATGTTCATTTGTCTTTCTGTCTGCTGTTCCGATTGAGTGATTTCCATTATTCTGTCTTCCAGATCACTTCCACGTTCTGTGTTATTTAGTCTGCTATTCATTGCTTCTAGATTGGTTTTTATTTCAGCAGTTGAGTTGTCTAATTTTGATTTGGTTCATCTTCATAGTTTCTAGTTCCTTGTTACAGTGCTCTGCATTTCTATTGATAATCTTTCTTAATTCCTTTAGCATTTTTATTACCGTCTTTTTGGACTCAAGGTCTAGTAGACTGGTGAGGTTTGTTTCAGAAATTATTTGTTCTTTCAGGGGATTTCTCTTGTTCTTTTAATTAAGAGTAGTTCCTCTGCTTTTTCATTTTACTTAACTTTCTCTCTCTCTATGAATTTAGGAGAAACATTTATCTACTGTGGTCTTGAAGGGGTGTTTTTATGTGGGAGCATCCCTGTGTAGACTCTGTGAGTCAAATATTTTTGGTGTGTGGGCTGGTTTTGGTGTGGGTGCCAGCCATGTCTTTCCTTAGCATTTGCTGGCCATTAACCCCTTGATAGGGGGTGTGATTGGTGTTGAAGCGTCTAGAACCTGGGCTCTGTGGTGGGCAGGACCTCCTCTTTGCTCTGAGGCTATCACAGCTCTGTTGGGAGTGGGGTCTGCTCCACAACTGTTGGAGTAGAAGCCCTGAAGTTTGTGTTTGATGAAATTTCATTGCCATTGAGTGCATGCCCTGCCCCAAAGGAGGCGACTGTTGGTGCAAGTGGGGCCTATATGGTCACACTGAGCCCATGCACCATCTAGGCAGGCATCTGCAGTTCCTCTTGGACTCAGTGCAATGTTGTGTCCCTTTCTCTGTTGTGTTTCATTCCAGACCTAGTGGTAGGCTCTTTTGTGGAGTGCGCTGTGGCTGGAGGCTGGGGCGCTGTGGCTGCAGGATCAAGGTTGTTGTGCTGCTGCCTGGGACCTGGGCTGCCTCTGTGGCACACCTCTCCCAGGACCTGTCCACCCCAATTCCAGCTCCAGGCTGAGGTGTGGAGTGGGCAGGGCTGGAGCATTCTCACCGGGAAATGAACCACTCACTGCATGCTGCTGCCCAGGGCCTTTCCACCGAACCTCAATGCCCAGCCACTGTGCATTTCTGTGATACCACCTGGTGTGCTCACTGACAAAGTGTGCCACAGCTGGACTCACCCCTCCCTGTGTACATTGACAGTGGGCTCCATGTTTCAGCCTGGACCACACCCCAGGCCGTCAGGGCTGTCTCCACTGTCTCCACACAGGTAAATGGAGTCCTCTCCCACATCCTGTCTGCCCAAAAATTCAGCACTTAACGTGTTTGTGGTCCCACTTGGCACATGGTTCGGATTGGTAAGTGAGGTGAGGCTTGGGAAGTGCAGCAAGGCATCAGCCACCAGCACTGGTCCCTTTCCATCCTGATTGTTAGGAAGCCAGCATGCCTGCACTCCTCACGAGTATAGTCTAGGCTTCCGCAGCCCCTCTGTCTGTCCCAGCAGATTTCCCAGCTGGCAGGGGGCTCCCCAGGCAAGGATCTGCCCGTGTGGACCTTCTGTCCTTTACAGATCTCTCCCAGGGGCACAGGTCCTGTCGCTTTTTTTTTTTTTTTTTCCTGTCCTACCCAGTTACATGGAGATCCTTCTTGCGGCTTTGGTTATGTGGGAGATCTGCCTGTTTCCAGTTGGTTTTCTATGAGAATTGTTCCACATGTAGATGTATTTTTTATGTGTTCGTGGGGAGAGGTGAGCTCCTACTCTGCCATCTTGATCCCCCTCGTAACCTCTACTCCTCAGATAGGATGATCTATGTGAAAATTATTTTTGAGTTATAAATCTACAAAAACATGATGTTTTTATTATTATAAAGCAATATGCTAACATTAATTCATCTCATGTCTGACCAACATCTGCTATGTGGGAACCCTTGAGCTAGGTGTTAGATATAGACAGGACAGGATAGAATACTCTTCTCTTCCTTGAACTTATATTTCTTCATTGTAGTTTGAGAGAGGATTAGCTTTATGTAACACTAGTATCTCACTAGTGAGTCCATTGCTTGTGATTTATTAATTAAACCCCACCAAATCACTTGCTGGTGAATTGCTTCAAGTATTTCTGTTTCTGTATTCATACACTTGAATATTTGAACCTAAGTGTATCACCTTAACTCTGGTGACCCATTAAAATCCCCTAGGGGGCTTCCCT